AGAGCGTGTACGACGTGTATTTGAGAATCTGAAGGTCCCCGTTGGCGAGTGGGCCGATTTCGCGGTCATGCTTCTGCAGAATAATGCATACGAGTGGTGGAAGCGCACTACTCGAAATTCGAATCATCCCGCAAAAGTGACGTGGGTGTACTTCGAACAAGTGTTCAAAGAGGAGTATATTCCCGAGTCGTTTGTGGAAGAGAAACGAGAAGAGTTTCTACATCTGGAGATGGGTACGATGAGTCTTCCTGAGTATCGTCAGTTGTTCGATCATCTCGCTGAGTTTGGCCAGGATTTGGTGAACACCACCAAACGTCATTGCGATAAGTTTGTGAATGGCATGCGCCCGAAACTTCAGAAGCACATGTCTACTGCATCTAGGCAAGATTTTGGAGTCATGTACGAGCAAGCAAAAGAGGTTGTTAGAACAAAGGAAGGATTGAAGCTGAACACTGAGCAAAAGCCAACTAAGACCTCCACACAAGCAGCTGGCACCAGCAAGGTCTTTCATGCGAAAAGGTCTCAGAGCAAATCTGAAATCCAAACATCAAAGAAAGCCAAATCGATGCCTACTCAATCTGTTGCCTCGACTAGCAAAGGGAAACAACCTAGGCATCCCTTGTGTACCCATTGCAATCGCTATCATCCAGGAGAGTGCTGGTGGATGCTAGGACTGTGTATGGGATGCGGACAAGCTGACCATCAAAGGAAGAACTGCCCTACAAATCCAGGTCCTGCATTTTCTACCACCCATGCCCCGAACCAGTCACAAATAGCAGGTCCAGCTCAGAGTCAACGTACGACAGCAGGATCTCATGTGCAACGACCTCAGCAGCAACGACCGCCGCAAGCTGCGACACAACATGCCAGAGCTCCCGCTAGGACATATGCTATGCGTGGGCAAATCGATCCTAATCCAGATGCAGACCACGGTACGTTCCTATATGCATCGTAGGTATACATAGCATTATATGATCCTAACTTGGCTACGTATTGAGAACGTACTTTCCTATTTAATTACTCGTATGGTTGCGAAAGGAGTGATAACGATTTCCCTACGATCCAAGGAATCCGTGTGAATTCAATATCTTCATCTTTTTCAGCAATTACGATGCAAAGGAATTTCGGGGACGAAATTCTTTAAGGGGGAGAGAAATGTAACGCCATGAAAACCGACTCAGTAGTTAGCCGTTATTTTAATAAAAAAATAAATAGATTATTTACTTTCTTTAAAATATGAAATATTTGTAAAGTTGACCATTTTAATTAAAAATTAGGTTTTCGGGTAGATCTCGTAAAATGGTGACCAACGGTATATAATTTGTTAAATTTGGCTTTTCGTATACACCGCGATAAACAAAATAGACATTACAGTTTGATAAATAAATATAAAGATTTTATAATATTAAATATTAATAATAATTAAGTTAACCTACTCCTACCCGTAAGCGGAAACCCCTCCCCCTTCCCCCTTAATATATACAGACGCACACAAGGGGAAAAGAAAAAGAAATGGAAAGAAGAAAAAGAACGAGGACAACGGATAGCCGCAGCCGTGCTCTGTCACCGTGCCGCCGTCTGCTCACCAGAGATTTTCGCCAAATTGTTTAATTTTAATACGTCAAACTATTGAGGTGAGTGATTTATCTCTCGTTAGAATTGATTCGTAGTTTAGGGTTCATTGATATATTTTCGTGCAATTGATGTTGAATTGGTGGATTGAATTGTTGAATCTGTTGATTGAATTGGATTGGGAATTTGGATTGTTGCTCTGAACACAGTAATTTGTTCTATTCGTCTCTGTTGTTCTTTTCTTCTGTTCATTGTCTTCCTGCTCTGTTTATTTCTCGCTGCTTCTCTGTTCTCTTGGATTGCCGCTATGTACGTTGTTCGCTGCCCTAGGGTGATGTTGGCTCTGGGGTTGCCGAATGCGCCGTTGCACTACCGTGATGCTGCCGGAATCTTGCCGCCATAGCTACTGATGTTGAGGATGACGCCGCTGCTTTTAATGAGTCTCCTCCATGGTTGCAACGACCTGGGGGATTACTCTCTTAAAATTGTATGCTTAATTGACTATTAAATTGACACTTTATTGGGGGCAGTGCTTCAGGAGTTTGGGCGCAGGGTGGGATGACATTATATTATAATTCTATTATAATTCTTTTGGGTTATGGTGTTGAATTTCATGACCACAATCGTGGAATAGACCACCTGGTATATCTGGGAGGTTGAGAATTGAATTATACGGATAAGGATTAGGATTTAGGCCTGGTGGGGCGAGCTTCGCATAACTCACAGGTCTTGGGTTAAAAACGTACGTACGGGAGTCATTAGCCTACCTAGGGATTCCTTTGTAGGGGCTCCAACCCGCCCATTGAGGATTCTCTTTGGGTTTCATCAAGCGTGGCCTCGGGGGATCCGTCCGAGTGTCCATGGCTTAGTTAGTCAAAAGGAA